AGGAAATTCCACTGTGATAATTGTAAACATATTTGTATCCAATCTTTTTAAAAAATAAAACGTTTAAGAATATAGATTCAAATTTATAAATTTGTCTTGAATGATAAAGATGCTAATGTTTGTCGTAGAACTGTTAAAACTGAAAATCGACGTCCAAGCTAGTCCAAGTTAGGATCAATCGAGGATCTTAACGGAAAAGTGGTACAAGTGCATCTTCTTTCCAAGAACGAGGACATGTAAAACCCTATTTATCTAGACGGTTCTATTATTCCCCAAGACATTCTAAACAAGATTCGAAAAATATTTCCACGCTTCAAAATATACAAATACTTTTCTGCATCGAACTTCAACCTCACCCAACTTCACTTTTCTTAAATCTTCTCTCTTGACCTCTTTTCCTAGAAATAAATTAGACCTTATTCTCTAGATTCCTAAAATCCCCAATCCTCCAATCCCACACCTACTCAACTTTACTTAAAAATTATTTTAAAAACTCGTACAACTCTCGAAATATTTTAATTATATTGTTAATTATATTATATTCGATCACTCGTACCCAATATATTCTTATTAATATTTCAATTTTCCCCTATTTCGCTCCATATCTACACTAGCTTCGTTTTGATCGACGACTAGTGAATCTGAACTGACAAGGGGTACATCATCGATTTGTCAAGGTTTGCTGAACGATTCCCCAGACTGTCATCACGCGATGTTTCAGACGATTGGTTTGCCACGTACATTATGCGCGTCGCTATTGATTATCACGAGTTTCTGACATTTGGTGGGAAATGATACGCGCGGCCATTAGAACGAACGGGGGCCAGGTCGGCTCGATTTCCGGATTTGAAGCAAGGGAGAGAGAGAGAGATAGCTAATCGCTAACCATTCTATCGGCCATCTTTTATCGACCTCCAGTTCAAATTTTTTCTTCCCTCCTCTTCCCTATCTCACCTATCTTAATGCCTGGCGTGCACGACGTTGATTTCCTCTCCTAGAAACTTAGGTTCTTCAAAAGAAAAACTTGGGTTTTCCTAAAGAAGGAAGAATGGGGAAAGAAACACGCGATTGGAATCGTGATCTCGAGAATAGAATAGTAACTATCTCTATCGAGATGTAACGTAATTCACTTCGAATATGTATAATTTGAAGAAAAAGAAAATTTTAAGATTTCGTTTAGGAAATCTGTGTTATCGGTGTGAAAAGATTCGAGGTTTTCAGATACAATTCCATGTATTTTGATCGTACGTGATGTATATTCATACAGGAATAGGGAGGACGATTGCGTGGAACTAGAAGATATTGGCAATGTTCAGGACTCTCGGAATACAAAAGGGATCCTTGAGCAGGATTATAATTAATGCAAGGATAGTAGTTCCTCTGGAAGTCTAGGAATGTTGATTCTAGGAATCGCGAAGTCACTTCCCTCCCCTCCCACAAAAATATCTTCGCAGGACGTCCTTGAGACTTGAGAGATTGGTACAATCGCGGAGAAACACGTAATACGAATCTTAGCAGTTCTCGTCCAAATTATATTTTTTCCATTTTGATTATTTTATTTCAAATACGAGCAATGAAAGCTCGATTTAAGCAACTTTTCGTCATTCCCGAAAAAATGTACAAGACTTTCTTTATATTCAAGAGAGATACAATTTAATATTCATTCGTTTTTAAATATACAAACTGCTCCATTTCTTTTCCAAACATTGTAAGTTTATTTTACTAGTAAAAGAAAAAGAGAAAATCAAACCTGAGTGTATAATAAACGTATATTTTCCACGGATAACGAAAAATACAGGGATAAAATTATTCCATCGCGCTCAATCACGCGCCGATTAATCATCTCGTTTGAGATTTAGTCAATCTAAAAAAAAAATACATGCGAAAGTTATAATTACAATACGTAGAAACTATTTGGCAAAGCGAAATCGTTGAAGATTAGAAGCACTCGGCTGTAACGATCGGAATTTTTATTTGTTTCATTCTTCTTTTTGCCCGCTCTTTATCACAGGGTTGGAGGGATTCGAGTAATTCGTCGGTGGCCGCCTCGTCAGCAAAATTACGCCCGCATTCAACCCGTTGTGACGTAGAGCTCGTTGGAAACGAGAGATTCGAACGGTTCTATGCTGATTTCCTTTTTTGCTTTTTTTAATTGCTCCATTTATTGGTACACACACACATACAAATACATATACGCAGAGATCGTTCAAATTTTTCGGATAAAAAGAGATATTAACAAATGGTCTTGGACCAATCAGTATTTTGCATCGTTTCTTTACGATTTTAAGATAGAAAAACAATCTTATGTATATTCGATCGATGTTTATGAATTAAAACGATATTTTCATTTGAAGAAAGAATACGAAATTTTTTCATTGGAATTTTTTAAAAATATTTCTTAATTTTAATATAATCCATTTTTGATCGACGAAATTGTAACGACTTTAAGGATGTAAATGAAAATCATACACTTTTCTTGAAATTATATTTGAAAATTGATTGTTGTTAAACTCCTCGATAATGTATCAATCAATTTCTTCTTAAAGTTTTATAATTATTATAATATTTGTCAAAATTTTCTTATTCCTTTTTCGTTACGTGAATAAATTTAATAGCGGTTTACGATAAACATTCTCATATCTTCTCGAAACAGGAACGTTGTATACGAAAAATTTTACCCGACAATTTCACATTTGAAAAATCGTCTGAAAAGTATATACTGCCGAGTAAAAAATGCATAAGATCTACAATGAAAAATGACAACGCTCGAGAAGTGTACGAATGGCCGAAGCCGAGATCCGCTTCTGGAAAATACAAATAGCGAAGTCACGATCCCCTTCTTGAAATTTCCATGAGATTATATTTGCCCGTCGCAGGATGCTACCGGATATTTCGTATTCCCTTGAAACAGGTGGAATCGGGTAACAACTAAATAATTAATGAAATCGGGGTAAACTGCTTGGAAAGAAAATGCATTTGGAGAATAATTCGAGGAGAAACGCGGCAGAAATTTGAAGGAAAAATCGTTGAATCGTCTAAGAAAATCTTCCATTTTCGAGTAACGTTTCGAACTCGATCGCGAATCTCGTTGCTGGAATTATTATTGCGATTCCGAGAAACGAGTAATTGCGAGGAAATTCGATTGGCGAGGAAAAAAAAGAAAAAAAAAAAAAAAAAAAGAGCGCACCGATAAACCGAGGGATTGTTCGCCAGATGCGGTTTTTACAACGGCGAGGATTTATATGACGGAAGTTTTCTGCAAATGTGGTCGGATAGCAGTTGAAAGGACATTTTAACGAACGTGTTGTCGCGGGATTTTTCGCGGTCTCCCCTGTAATTAAATCTGATATTGTTCGTTATAAAATCACGAATTCAGAAATAACACGTGGATGTATAAAAGTCGTATAAAATACCGTTTTATCCACGATCAATAAGTCGTAGTTAGATTTTATCGCAGGATAAAAGAAGTAGAAATTAGCTGTGTACGAATTATTACGTTATACATATATATTCTCGACAATGAAAATGTGTTATCTTATTTGTTGAATGATATTATTAACAATATAGAACAATATAAAAGAAAAAGAAACGATATATAAACTGTGTAATCCTTTTAATACATTCTTATAACATTATACTCAAACTTTTGAATACAGAACAAAACTTCGCAATTTAATTAAATTTTGCCCCGGTTCAAAGCTATTTCTTATTTCCAGGCCGCCTATACATTCAAAATTACGGCTAGCTAGCTCGTGCAAAACTTTGACTCTGTTACACTGTTCCAAAATTTCTCCCGTTAATCCCTATCTTCGAAAATCCCGCAAACCCGCCTAAAATCACATCCCAAACTAAAACAATCGAAACATCCGAAGAGGCGCCAATTACACCCACACCTCGCTCGACATCGATCCATCCGAACACCTAAGAGTAAGTGCCTATAGGTCACTTCTGACCTACATATCCCCAAGATCTGTTCAAAACCTAGAGCGCCTAGGTCAGCGTTCGAACGTTCATTTGAACTAGGCGATTTCTACCCTTTCCCCTTTGTCGGGCAAAGAAGGCCAACTTTCACCCGATCCAAAAATTTTCATTCAATCCAAGAATTTTTACCTGATCCAAAAATTTTCATTCGATCTAAGAATTTTCATTCGATCCAATAATTTTCACACGATCCAAGAATTTTCATTGGATCCAAGAATTTTCACTCCATCCAAGGATTTTCAATTTGATCCAAGAATTTTTACCTGATTCAAGAATTTTCACAGGATTCAAGGATTTTCATTCC